TTAAGCAAGGACCACTAATATTTGGTTTGCTAGTCACATGACCAACAAGACACACCCAGCTAGTCACATGACCATCTAACCAACCACACCTACCCAGTCACATGACCACCAAGCCACATCCACAAATTAGGCCACATCCACAGAACCGGTTGTTAAGAAATTTGAATCCCACTCCTGGTGTGCACTGAAATCCAATAAATTTAAGTATGCCTTAAATCATTGTATTTATAGTTGCTTAAGCTCATATCTGCATATTTATGTCCAATTGGCTAAAGTTTAATGGGATTCAAGTATCTTCAATCCCTAAATAATATTTAGTTCATTATTTCGAGAATCTTAGAAAGCAGGGAGCACTTTGCTGTGCTCAAAGTTAACAGAGTAGGAATGCATAGGTTAAGATATTTGAAGGTAGAATGCATTCTATTTATACTGTGTCCTAGGAGAGTTTTGAGCACCTTTAGGAATATAACATTTGTGTTACACAGAATGTTTGGGGCTATTTGTGATTCTGTTCATGAGTTCCTTTTATTTGTCTCACTTGAAGTAAAGGGTGAAGTAAGATGGTATATAACAGTAGTAGATCCTTAACTTTTTTAAAAATCTTTATCCCAATTTTTGTAACATTAGAGCAGCATATAAGATAAATCACAAAAAGAGAGAGAAAATAAGAGAATATTTTCTAAATAATTTTGCTTAAAGATTAGGAGCAATCTAAAGAAAAACTCCGACATGTTAAATTCTCTACCTAAGTTACATATTTAAAAAGTGAAGATATTTGAAAAGAATTTTCTTTATAGGCACATTTTTTGTAAAAAATTATTTTCTTGTAGATTAATTGTTGCAATTACTGCAATTACAATTACAGCTGCAAGCAGTTGAACAATTTTTGATGCAAAATGTATTTTTCCCTTTGTCTGGTTTTATCCGTTTTGTTCATTTATAATATTCTGTGCACGGTGAGCAGTTGCTTCCCATTGCTCTTTCTTGGAAGGGCACAGTGATGTTCAATGCTAATTACATTTTGGATTTCTTAATCGATTTTTGTGGCCAACTCTCACTTCAGTGTCTGTGGCATTTTAAAGTCTCAATTTGAATCCTAAAAAGGCTTAGTCCCTATTTTCTTTTTCTTTTTGTCTAAGTCCTCACTCCCACCCTTACCATTCCAGTGCTGATTCCATCTTTCCTAATCTCCTATCATTGCATGCTATTGAACTCATTTGTGGCTGTTACCTTCAGAATGGGTTCTGCCTATCTGTGGGTTGATTGTGTTACTGCCATATTTAGAATTATCTTTAAATCTGCTAATGTTTTTTCCTTGTTTGTGGGTAGTAAGTTTTACAGTTACAGTTCCATAAGAAGGGAAGCATTACATTTAGTTTAATCTTAGGGATGTGCTATAGAGGACTAATGTACAGTACTGTATGGCAAATTTTGTCTTTCTTTTACTAGATAACCTGATGTGAATCGGTGAAAAAAAGTACAGTTAGTGATCTCACTGTAATTAGAAGAGAAATATTTTAATTTAAAGTGTTAAAAATATTTTACTTATAGCTAAACAGATGTTACATATATAATTATAAATGATTTTTCCATCTTTCCCCTGAATCACCTAGATTGCAGAGTGAATTTATTTATTCTTTTGTTCCCTTTCACCACTTTAGCACAGACCATTAACATTCCTCCAGATGTGATATATTTTACTTTTTAAGGGTTGTGATGGTGATAGCGCTTAGAAAGATCAAGGTTGTCTGAGCTAATAGGATGGGCACACACCTCTGCTTTCCATCAGTCCTGCTTCTTCACAGGTTGATTCATGTAAATACCCTTATAGCTGGGTTAACTGTGAAGAGTTTTGATGTATCTACATTAATGGTGTCATACTCGTGTCATCACAGCATCATCACATGACATTTCGTGACTTTTCCTCTTCGCTAAACTGGGCGTGGGTGTGGCCAACATGTGACGCATCTAGTCCACAGGCCACAAATTTGACAGCCCTGATCTACATAATCCTTGATTTCTTCCCTATCACCTGTGTTTAGGTTCAAGTTCAATTAAGGAAGCTTCTAGATATCTGCCACTTGTTATATAATGTGCCTAATATTTTAGCACCAAAATGGAACAAAAAAAGAATCAGAATTGAGTTATTGTTGCATTTCCTATGTTCACTCAGCTGTACTTGCTGTGCATAAATCTTAATCAGCTGAATCAGTGGATGAAGGACAACTTTAGATTGTGTTTTAGACTAGTCAAATGTGCTGAAAGAAATAATAATCTTTGCTTCAAATTAGACTTATTGGAGTAAGTGCTAGGACTCAAATATCCATCTTTAAAATTGTGTTCTGAACATAACAATAGAAATTTGGATCATACAACTGCATTAGACAAGATTTTTCTGTATGGTACATATCCACAGCAATTATGTACTAGTTTTTTCCCCAGTTGATAATTTATTTGCTTTAGCTTCCGGGAAAGCTCTTTTTGGCATAGGCACTGACAGTTCAACTTTAATTTTGCAAATCACATACCATAAGTTTTGATTTGAGAGGATTGGAAAAGGATGGTGGCATGTTAACCATAACATTTCTAGAACTCTGAGACAAAATTTAAGTCAGAAAATGAGCGGGAAGCTGTATGTATGCTTACTGTTTTGTTTACATAAATATTCTTTTTGTTCTAGAGAATGAAAAAAGTTACTTTTTAATTATGTTTTTAAATAATGTAATTTGTATCTAATACTGTCATTCTACATAGTGAACATTATTTGATCTACCAGATTAGAATGTGTACAACTGTACTTTCCCTACAATATATTTCATTTCAAATATTGGTCAGAGTTGGAGAACTTTCTGGAAGGTAGAATGGTCAAGCTCATTAGGTAAACCAACCAGAAAATCAACTGGACCTATTTTTTAATAAGTTGGCTATAATAACAGAATCCTTCAAGTCTGAATGTGCTTTACTTCTCCTTCTTTGGACTGAGTGAAATAGAGACTCATTTGCCTGAGACTCTTCCAAATATTATTTTGCTTTTCAGCAAAGTGTTGCAGCCCTCTTTGCTTGTGTAATGGTTCTTGCATATTTCTGACAATTATTATTGAATAATAATAGAAATATTATTACATGATTATTTCTTTTTCTCTCTTTAGGAAATTAAAGTCTGAAACAATAAAATTGACAACAATAAACAATTGTTTCTTTTATAAAAGCCTGCTGGGTTGAGTACTTAAAGGATTATGAGAGATTGTCCTTTCTTTTGAGTATTTATGTACCCTAAGCAGTTTTATACATTGTTTTATAGATATGAAACAATACAAAATATTATTTTTATAGGAAATCTACATCCTCACAAGTACTTAATTTCTAAGAGTCATCACCATTCAGCTGCTTTTCCTAAGTAAAAATATATATAAAAACTATTATGTAGATTTTTATCTATTTAAATCTTAAGCTTTTTATTTCTAGCATATTTTCTACAAATCTTTCTAAAAATTCTAAATCCATGATTACCATTTAAGCTAAATGTTAAATTAACATTTGAAAATTATAATCTTGGTATTTTAAGCACTGGTAACTTTATTAAATTGTTAATACATTTATAGTGTATATACAGTTCATATAGCAAGGTTTCTGAAACATTATACCTTTATGATCTTTTCATTACTTGTTTGCAGTGAAATAAATGACAAAACAATCTTTCCTCTGGTGTACCAATTTCATCCAGTGGTTTCTCATGTTAAAGGAATCCATCAGCATGAGTTGTATAGTTACTTATCAAACATAGTTTATGTTATGCTTGATGAAGGTTTTGACTGAGAAAAATGTGCTGAAGATGTGTAATGTAAAACTTACTTTAATAGATCTGGTGAAAGTGAAGTTCCCTGAGTTCTAGCATGAGTTCAAAAGCTTGGAAGATTAAATTTGTGGTCCCAATGACCAACTCAGATTGGATCCTTTATAGCTTATTGTTGTGGTTCTAAAGCTAGACTTGTTAGAAAATCTCTGCCAGTCAATCTGAATCAAAGATTGCATTATAGGATCAGGAATCCTTGCTAATAAAGTTTATAGAGATCTGTAAGATCTTTTTTTAAGGAAAGTGTAAAAGCTAATTTAATGGCATATGAAAAGGTATGTATGCAGTTATTCATTATTCTCAAGTAAAGCATGATTAGGTGCTATATTGCAAGGAATCTAAACATTGTAACTATATACACAGTTCTAAAGAGCAATCAAATAGTTTATTTGGCAGCTGTATAGCAATATATTTAAACTAATAATAGTTTTATTGCATTGCCAATGTAAATGAAGCTACTTTTCTCTCTCATTTTATATTTCATACATGTCTTCTAAAATCTAAAATGTAGAAACCTGGGTAGGAAAAATATGTATACCCAGTATAACCTTTCTATAATTTCTTTAAGATATGAATCATATTTTTAAAAGATGCTTTAATAATTTATATAAAAATGTATTTTATGTAAAAGTATGTCTAGGAATTTAGAAAATCCATGTTCAATATTTTCTGTTATGAAATTTTAAATTCTTGTCTTCTGATATCCTTTTGATTATTGACTAAAGAATCTAAGAGCTGTGCTATATTAGACTATAATTTTCTATTGTTAGGGCATGGTTTCTGGCCAACGGGAAACGAAGCATGAGTGTAGTCTTTCTATCCATGTATGTGCCACAGGACCTGGTATTTAAAGATGTATTGTTATCTTGACTGAAAACTCTTGGCAGCCTTACATGCCATGATTTTGCGTAACCTTTTGTTAAAGTAAGCGGCACAATTAGTGAAGAACGTAGCATTTTTTTAAAGAATAATTTTATCCCTGTGCAATTTATCCATCCCATGCACTTGCTTTCACTAAATCCCAAACAAGCATTTATTTGAAACACTTGTCAAAAATGGCAAAGGAGTTCCTGTCCAAAACTTTTGGAACATTGATATTGATTTTAACGAAATTATTCATCCCAATAAATCTCTTTCCTCCCATCAGAGCCATCAGCTCCACCTGCTCCATCTAATCTCAGGATTGCCAACTCTACAGTAAACAGTGATGGAAGCATAAACATAAGGATTATTTGGGATGTCCCAGAGGAACCTGATATTCCAGTCCATCATTACAAAATCTTTTGGAGCTGGACTGTCAGCAGCAAGGCTCTTGTCCCAGCAAAAAAGAAGAGAAGGAAGACTTCAGATGGAGTAAGTAAAAAAGGAAATAGAATGAGATACTAAAAATAAATGTCTCAGTTGCTTCTGTCTAGTATGTTCAATTTTCTTTAGGCTAGAGGCTTCCAGTCTCAAAGCAGCATCTTGAGGACCACTTTGTAAAAGAGGACAGGGAAAACGGGCACTTAAAATATTTTAGAAGTTCATGGCAGAAGGACAAACATTAACTGAATGACATTATATTATTTAAATTACTTCCTTGCTAAATTGCTAAAGCAGTTTTATTCAGACGGGCATTCAACGTTTAATGGACTGCTCCTGATTTTTATTGCTGTTTTTATATTTTGAGAAAGATTATTTTACTCTTTATTTAGAGTCCTAGGCTTTGTAATATCATATTGTACATATTGCTTATACGTTTTCATTGTGTAGAAGTGATAAAATTCAGAATACTAACAAAAATACTACTACTACTAATATATGTGTGTGTATGTATATATATACACATACATGGATCTTTGGTTGTTCGGGTTTTCTCCCGCGTAAGATTCAAAGTATCTAGGCAACGTTTCGATGAAGTCTCATTCATCATCTTCAGGCTTCTGTCTCCGGCTCT